TTAAGCCTAGGTAGAAGACGGTTAAGGCCGTTAACCTATCGCTAAAGAAGCGCGTCCCGAAGACGACTAGAGCTACCCGCGTAATTTAGCTATTTTACTACTAAAACGGAGTCCGCGTTAATATAGCATCGGAGAGAACTAAGTATAGCCTTCGTAAGTTAATAAAGAATCGGACTAGGGACGATAAGAACTTTACTAAGAAGTCCCTCTAGGACGAAGTAATTAAGAAGAAATAGTTCGCTAATACGAACGAGTTCTAGCTACGGTTTATAAGAGATAATAGAGTAGCATTTAACATTAACCGGGACATTTTCCTCTAGACTATGCTATAGTACGTCGAGGATTCTAATAAGTAGCCTAAATTCGAGATCGATGTTCTTCCTAGTACTCCGCCGAGAAGTGTGCGCGTCCGCCGCTAGGCGAAGTAATTAGGCAGGTAATAGGTAGTTAGTAGTAAAGGACGATAGACTAGATAACGGACGGTGGATGTTAGACGATGGACTAGATAATAGATAATAGATGATAGATGTTAGATAATAGAATATAGACAATGGGTAATAGACGATAGACGATGGATAATGGGAAATAGCGCAGACTTTTCCTGCTCCCGAATCGGGTGGCGTACGTTGGAAGCGATTCCAAGGAATAATCAGTTGGTTTTCCCCGTAGCGTAGCAGTCCAAGAAATACTAAGAAGGCTAAGGAGAGGTATTCAAAAGGAGTCGAGAGAACGACTTGTAACTGCTTCTGTGAAGACGCTCTCTTTTGGACGGACCCGAGGTTTGCAGTGTTTGACTTATGGTTCATTGAACATTCTGATGTGTCTCAACTTTCGAAGGCCCAATAGTGACACGAACGACATGGCGACCAAATCGTGTGGTGTTGTGGATTTTGGATCAATGACTATGCGAAGCGGAGCCCAGGCATCTTCGTCAAAAGCCATGGTTTGGTTCTGCACCCACGAGCTGGATTGGCAAAGCACTTCCTCGATCGTGTTGATCCAGGCAGCGTGTGTCGTGCAATGTGTGATTGTGCTCGCTCGTAATGTCCAATGTACTAGCCATCGATTGTTTGTATGTTTGCACCTACGATCTTGCTTCCGTATACGTCGTACATCCCCGACGGTGGAGGAGGGGGGAAAAGGAACACCGGCACCACAACTCTGAGCAGCCTTCCCACAAGACCAACGCCCCTGACGAGGACTCCGAGGCATCATACCGTTCATGTCGCTGCCGTACAGCCTACAGCTGCAAGAAACACCCAGAGGAGACAGAGCAAGACGAACCAGAGAGCCCTCCTACCGGATGGAGGAACTACACAGCCCCATTCCTCCTCTGCCCTTCCGTTGCCTTCTTTCGGTTACGTTGCTTTGATCAAATCTTCCGCCGTATTACTCGATTCACAAGAGAAGAACAGAGACACCTCTCGTTTGTCGTTTCGTCGCTCAAGTCCGCTTGCGGCCGGTCGGCTTTGTTTAGAACCACTTCCCTCCCTCAATAATATTACCAACATCAACATCAACATCAACATCTCCCGCGCATTAGGAAAACGCATCAGAAAGATGCATCAGAAGAACTTACCAGAGAGATTTTGGATAATGTATGGACAGGAGAGGAAGGATAGCAGACAAGGAGCAGAGGGAAGATCTTCATTCGGCCGAAGCAACAACAACAACAACAACAACAGCAACACTGCCATAGCTATGTACACAGCTATGTACATGGCTTTGCGTCGYACAAACAGCGAGCACAACGCACGACCTTCGTATCCTTCTTTAGCTGTGCCGTATACTGGCGACAAATTGGATATCCCCTCTCTGTGCAGCGCTCACAGCGCGGCCGCACTTCACCGTCACTGGTCTCCTCAATGCGAGCAACATGTACAAGCGCTTTCTGTCGATCTAAAGCTTTAAGGTCGAAGGACTGTAGTATATATATTAGTTCGGGCAGCAATTAGGACGAAAGGAGGATAAAGAGGATGAAGAGGATTGGAAGGATTAGGCAGGAAGGTACATACTTCAGGACGGACGGACAGGCCGTAGTAGACCTCAGAGCTTGTGTTCTCAGGTCGGCGAAAGGTAGTGCCTTTGTTATGGCTACCAACCTTCGGACCGCTTTTCTTCGCAGAACCAGGAGTTAGCGGCGGTGGCGGCAGCATTTGTCCTCTAGCAGCAGCATTGTCGTCCTCATCGTCGTCGGATCGGAAGGAGAACACACTAGAGTCACGGGCTGGCGTACGAGGAGGGCGAGGAGGCAGAGCGCGAAGCGAAGGCAGCTTTCCGGTAGCTCGTGGTCTAAGGATGTTAGGACTTCACTATCGCACATATAAGGACCAACTTACGACTTCTCAATGCTCGGAGCCGCAGCAGCTTCTTCCTCTTCCTCTTCCTCTTCTTCCATTGGCGGCAGCGGAGTGTTGTCTTCTTCTTCTTCTTCTTCTTCTTCTTCTTCTTCTTCTTCTTCTTCTTCTTCTTCTTCTTCTTCTTCTTCTTCTTCTTCATTATTGTCAGGGACGCCAGCAAGATTCAGCATTTCGTCAACCCAAGGATCTCTCTGCATGTTGGCGGTGGTGATGGTAATGGTGATGGTGATGGCATAGGTGCAAGTGTTGCGGCAAGAAGGGCATGCCTCTTGAGCTCTTATTCCTATTGTCACTTTTGCTTCATTGTCAATCCTCAAAGGTTGTCAGACCAGGCCAGGCCAGGCCGTTCATTGTTCAGGAAATCACAGCGAATGTGATTCGCCACGCACCAAACGAATATGCCACGCACCAACAGTTTTAGTACNATCCTCAAAGGATGTCAGGCCAGGCCAGGCCGTTCATTGTTCAGGAAATCACAGCGAATGTGATTCGCCACGCACCAAACGAATATGCCACGCACTAACAGTTTTAGTACGTCATTGTCAATCCTCAAAGGATGTCAGGCCAGGCCAGGCCGTTCATTGTTCAGGAAATCACAGCGAATGTAATTCGCCACGCACCAAACGAATATGCCACGCACTAACAGTTTTAGTGCGTGGCATATTTATCGACTAGAACACGGAGCTCGATAATAGTCTGTCTATCTACCGAACAGACTATCCTACGTCTACCTTCGATATCGATATAGAAGCTATCTGCCTTTAATAACCGCGGAAGTCGTGCTATACTCTAAGTCGTAAAAAGAAGAACATTTGAAGTATAATAGGCTCCTAACGTCTTTAGTATATAATAGGCTCTAAATGTCCTTAGTATATAACAAGCTCTAAAGCCGCTTTAATATCGATATAAGGACTATCTACCTTTAATATCGAGAAGCCGCGATACCGGAGTTAGAGTATATTATATAAGGATACTACTACGCTAGGGACTAGTTTTATCGTTTTATCGGATAGGTCTAATATAGCGAAGAGGCTAGTAATATATAGGTAGGGTATTACTTCGATAGGTTAATTTACGTTATTAATCCTCGGAGTTCGTTAGATTAGGCTAATTATTACTTAGAAAAGTACGGCGTATAAAATTTGCTATGTACTAAACGAATATACTACGTACTAACTATTTAATACGTAGTCTATTCGCGTACTAGAAAATTACTATAGAATTTAGAGTCGTATTTACGTAATAGCTATATTAACTCCTTCTCTAACTCTATAGCTTAGTCGATTAATAATTCCTACTTCTATACTAACTATAAAATGTCTTAGTAGTAGACTCTTATTAGTTCTACTAATACGCGCGACTAATAATAAGGCGATCGTAAGTAGTAAGAACTAAAACGAGTACTTAAACTAAAGAACTAAGAGAGGTCTCGAGATACGAGATAACTAAGTCTAAGATATACTAAGAAAGTATATAGGGTAATAACCTTATATAGGGTAATTCCTATAAGGTAGGTAGTAGAGGCTATCTTATAATACCCGCCCTACTAATAATAATATATAGCGCTACTACCTATAGTATATCTCGGTAGTAGCTTAGTTAGCCGATTAATAGTTCCTACTTTTATACTAATTATAGTATATCTTAGTAGTAGCTAGGTCTAATTACGCTCTTACCCTTATACTACTTACTAGCCTACTAGTAGCGTACCTATTAGCTATTACTAGTAGTATATCTATTATTAGTAGCGCGTCTATCGCTAGAGATAATATTATTAGAAGCCTATAGTAAAAGAATAAATACTAAGCCTCTATCGATAAATACTAAGTATCTATTAATAAATACTAGGCCTCTATTAACGAATACTAGGCCTCGATTAAGTATTAGTATACTAAAAAAGTAGACTTTAAGCTATTCCTACTTCTATATATCTCTCTTTTAATTATATTTTCTTTCTTTTCTCTTATACTTTTCTTCTTATATAACTTTATTATTCTATACTTCTATTCTTAACTATTTATATTCTTATTTATTTCTATTTCTATATCTCTTTACTTATCTATTTCTTCTTACTTATTATTCTATCTTCTTATAACTCTCTTTTATTATATATTTCTATTACTATATTACTTTATATTTGTATCTATCTTTTCTCCTATTTTATTTTTCTTTGCTTTTTTTTATATCTATATATCTTTCTTTTTTAATTCTTTATTCTTTTTAATCTTCTTATATTATATATTTCTCCTCTCGTATACTTCTATTCTTATATATTTCTCTTCTAGTATCTCTACTTATTTATAAATCTTTGTTCTTTTATATACCTATTTTTTTATATACCTATTCTTTTATATATATCTTCTTTTATATCTCTAGTCTTTTATGTTTCTATAATTTTATATTTCTATAATTTTGTATTCCTACTATCTAATATTTTTATACGTTTTTAATCTTACTTATCTATATTACTACATTATTATCGTTCTATTCTAATAAATTTTTACTTTTATATATTTCTAATCTTATTTCTTTCTCGAAGTAGATAGTAAAAAACTGTTATATTAGTAGAATTCTTTATCTATAGTAATTTAATACTATAGAATATTAAGGATCTAATATATGAATTTATAGTATATAAGTAGTTAAGATTATATAAATTCATATATTTATAAATCTTAAGTTATTAAGAGGTAAGGATTTTTAAAATTTCATTATTAAGAAGATAATCTTAAAATCTCTCTAAGATCTAGAACTTTAAGATATATAACTTTTTTTAACTCTAGACGACATTATAATATAGAAATTAGATATTAGAATATATAATATTTAGTTTTATTAAGTATATAGTAGTCTAGGATTAGAACTTTATAGATATTTTGGAATTCTAACCTTAAATATCCTATTTTAAAAAGAATCAAAATATTATATATCTACTATTTTAAGCTATTTAGATTTAAGGTTTTTGAAATTATCTAAACTTTAATTATTTGACTTTAAGAAGTCCTAAGAATATAGTTCTTAAGTTCTTTAGATTCTTATAAATTTAGATACTAGACTTCTCGGATTCTTTGATCTTTAGATATCTTATTACTAAGATTTTACTAAATTCTAATTATATATTTATTTAATTTAAAGAGACTTAGACTTCTAGTCTCTTAAACTCCTTAAGTTATAAATATAGAGTATTAAAGATTTTAAGAAATTCAGATACTAAGATTTTCCAATTTATAGAAATTTAAAATCTTAATTTCTTAAATTTCCGGAGACTTGAATTCTGAATTTCTGGGATTTCCAGAAACTCAAATTCTGAATTTCCGGGATTTTCGGAAACTGAGATTCCAAGTTTCCAGGATTTCTGGAAACTCAAATCCTGGATTTCTAGGATTTCTGGAAATTGAAAATCTAAACTTTAAGGATTTCCGGAAATTAAAACTATGAACTTCTAGAATTTATAGCATCTCAAGTTTTGAGTTTCTAAAGTTCTTGGAAATTAAATATCTAAGTTTTAACAATTTCTAGATATTTAGAATTGGAGTTTCTAAGCTTTCTAGATATTTAAATTTTAAGTTCTTATAATTACCGAGAATTCAGCTTTCGAGTTCTTAAGATCTCTAGAAATTTAAATCCTAGGCTCTTAGGATTCCCGGTAATTCAAACCCTAACTTCTTAGAATATGCGGTAATATAAACTATAAGTCTCTAGAATTCGCGGAGTTTTTATCCTTAAGTTTTGAATTTTCTTAGAAGTTTAAGTTAATAGTTTCTATAAAATTAAAATGCTATATATTTCTATTCTAGTAACTCTAGGTTTAATATTATTATAGTTTAAAGAATAATAAATAGTAATACTAGTAGGTAGAAAAAGTATGTAGTAATACTAGTAACCTAAAATTTTAGTAATAGGATATATAAGTATAAGATACTAGTACTTAAGAATATTCCTAAGAAGAAGTAGTACTAGGAAAAGAGAATAGTAGTAATAAGTAGTACAAGAAAAAGAAAATAGTACTAATAAGTAGTAATAGAAAAAGAGAATAGTACTAATAAGTAATAATAGGAAAGAATAATATTAATAAGAAAAAATACTAATTATAGTAAATAGTATTAATAAATAAGTATAGTAATAAAAAGTACTAATAAGAGAAAATACTAAGAAGAAGTAATTCTAGAAACAAATAGTACTAGAAAGAAGTATTATTAGAAAGAGATAGTTTTTAAATTGAATAATTCTAGTAAGTAGTTATAATAATATAAAGTAATATAAAGAAGTAGTAATTCTACTAGTAAATAGTACTAAGAAGTAGTAATTCCATTTCTAAATAATACTAAGAAGTAGTAATTCCATTTCTAAATAATACTAAGAAGTAGTAATTCAATTTCTAAATAATACTAAGAAGAAATAATTCTATTTCTAAATAATACTAAGAAGAAATAATACTCGTAACAAATAATTCAAAGAATAAATAATACTAGTAGAAAGTAATTATAAAATATATAATACTATAAGAAGAGGTAATTCTAGTAAGAGGTAATTCTAGTAAGAGGTAATTCTAGTAAGAGGTAATTCTAGTAAAAGGTAATTCTAGTAAAAGGTAATTCTAGTAAGAGGTAATTCTAGTAAGAGGTAATTCTAGTAAGAGGTAATTCTAGTAAGAGATAATTCTAGTAAGAGGTAATTCTAGTAAGAAGTAAAATTATAAAGAGATAGAATTAAAAAGAAGTAGTATAGATATATAATATTATAACTTTTAAATATAATTTTCCTATTTTAAAAAAATTTACTACGAGTCTCTATTTATTCTTACTAAGCTATATAGATTCTTTCTACTTCTAGATAAGATATAAACTCTAAGTTATTACTTTTAATTTAAAGTATTAAAAACTAATTTAACTAAAATATATAGGAAGAAACTACTAATAAGTTAAAGCATATATACGGTACCGGTTTAGCTATATTAGCTCTACTCTAGAGTTAAAGCTATCTTAAGCCTCGAGGTAGCTTTAAGTCCTAGCTATACACAACTAATCCCTATTACTTACATTCTATACGCCCGAACGTGGTCCGACTTAATACCTGCTTACGATAGGAATCTAGGGTTAGGGTTAGGGTTAGGGTTAGGGTTACATTCACGCCGGCTCTTACGATTGTAGCCAATCTAACAGTTGTCCGACGAGCCCTATTACGAAGAAAGCCAAAGACGGTGCCAAAGGCCCATGCCTAGAGCGACGCTTATAAGGGCTCTAATTACAGCAACGAGTTTTCAGAGGGATAGCAGTTAGATGAATCCTGACAAATGGACTTTATTGCTACCCGCGGCAATATTTGATCTTTTTAGCTGCGCAGCAATTGGAGAGACCGGCGAAAGGCTCGCTGACCTCGTCGCCGATGGAAATACGGAATGTCCACCTTAAGAAAGCGTATCCTCGGGAAACACTGAATGTGGTTATTGAGGATGTCGAATGGGAGATGGATTGCGAAGCGAGTGCCACACCTGCGTGTATACTGCATCGTTTGCAAGCAGTGCTTAGAATCGCTGCCAGAGCCTGATCCGCTGCCAGAGCCTGATCCGCTGCCAGAGCCTGATCCGCTGCCAGAGCCTGATCCGCTGCCAGAGCCTGATCCGCTGCTAGAGCCTGATCCGCTGCCAGCTTGATCCGCTGCCTAGCAAGGCTCCTCTAAGGCGGTGCTAAAGCTTTTAAGGGTGCGAGATGCGGAAAAGGCAGGGATGACGGAGGCGACAGTTGGGATTTGCAGATATCCGTTTAAGCGGACGAAGAATTTGTCCGTAGCGCAACTTGATCTGAAATGCTCTCTCGATTGATTCACGGGCCGCTCTGAGTCAACACGCCGAGAGCTGATATCGAGCATTGTCAACCGAACGGTCTCGACGATCCCGGAGGGCGTGGCTTTGACAGCAGAACGATGCGAGGGATGCATCGAGTCGGAGCTGGGATTGGAGATGCAGTTGGAAGCGCGGCGGGACATCATTGATAGCAAGCAAGTATACTGCGAAGAAAGCACAAGATGCAGCCGCGGCAATGCTGGTAAGGCAGTCAAGGGGACTCACTGTTCGATAAGCTAGTGATGTAAAATTGTCATCACCGCCCGCCCTTGAACGGGGATCCAGACTATCCTCTAGCCAATAACAACAATGACTGTACAGAGATGGAGTAGGTGTAGCTGWGATCGAAAGGTGTCCAACGTTGGAGTTAAAGAATTCTACCGTATCGAGTAGACTTGTTGCAAGGGCCCTTATCTAACACGACCAATAAAAAAATGAGAGGTGTCCAACGTTGGAGTCAAAGAATTATAAAGTGCTAGACTAATCCACTATGTAGTCTAGGGCGCGTAGGGATTTCCTCCGCTGCGAGTAGACGCTGAAGTCAAGCTAGAAACCGTTGGCATTATCTGGCTTTCGTAGGTTGRCCGTCGCGTTTCTCACGAGAGGTTTCCATGAAATCAGTAAGTCGGTTGGAATGTCGATTTTTCTGCCGCACAGCGTGATCCTGGTCCGGCCAAAGCGATTCCGGAAGCGTAGAGGTCCGTAACAACTCCCTACCAATCTCGGTGATGATCCTCTAAGTCTGGCCGGTAACAGAGTGTGGCCTTGTGAGGTATATCGTAGGTGCGAGTGTAATATGTATTGCTTGATGCATTCATCTCCGGATTGCAAGATTAAGTATTACTCTTTGGGTTCACTTCCTAGGCGCTGTWTATGTCTGTTCAACTCTTCTAGACAGTTGTATAAGCTATAATGAGTATGTCCGTTACGGCACACCTCCGGGCCTAATAGTTGTTGCGTTTCATAGTATGCTAATCCTAAAATATAAGATTAGCATATAAAGAATCTGAACCTATTAGGCTTGCTCTACACCTATTCCGCTGCGTAAGAGCAGAACTATAGGGTTTACGGCTCTAGATTTCTCTATATTCTTCGCTTCGAACACTAGTAAGTAGACCGCTATTATAAAGTGAACATTCACCCCCGAGCGGACTCCTTTTATCCTACTCTATATCGCATATTGCCCGATTAAACGCAACGGTTCGATCCTTATCGTCTATACTACGTAGCTCGACCGGCTACTCGATATAGCGAGCTATATCGAGGGTAGAAATGCCGTAGGACGTAAGTGTGCGGTTATTTTCGATGCGTGTGCCTAGCTAGCGAATAGGTATAAATACGGGGAAAATTGGCCTAAGRCAATATAGATATCTATCCGAGGTTAAATAGATAAAGACAGCATAGCTAAGGAGAGACCCGCCCGGGGTTATAAAGCTGCCCGCTAGCATAAACTCTACGAGCTTGCCCTCGAATATGTCCTTTACCTATATAGTGCTAGGTGCGTAAAAGGAACATTAGTTAGTACTTAGTAACTAATGCGGTAAGGGAACTCGGCGACCCGTAGAAGTCGGCCCTCGTTAGCGGCGATTATAGCGGCCTAGGGTAAAATCGTCTTATAGTTGTTCTCTTCGATTTCGGCAATCTAGCAATTAATTTCCATTATCTCTAGCTTATGCTCTTCCTATCGCTCTTCCTTAAAGCCGAGGCGTAGAATAGGGTCTAATATAAGGGCGTCTCGGTAGGGAAGGTCTTCGGGATCGTAAGATAGGAGCCGAAAGATTAGTAATGTAAATATAGGAGGGCTCGCTACGCTACTTACGGTAGGTGGCTAGATAGCGGAGATGTCGGCGAGTTATATAGAAGCGTAGTAAAGGATCTAGAATATACGCCCGTAACCTATACTATTAGTTCTTATATGTAGATCTAGTAATCGCGAGTAGTACCTACCTTATAATCGATGTAGTATACGGGAGAAAACMCTTAAGCCGGAGAGTGTGTAGATATAGACATATAGATGTAACTTATAGCGTCTTTATAATAAAGTTACCTAGGTAGCTATTATAGCGGAGCGAAGTGCGATGCACGGAGTATAAGATGGGGATGTAGTAGTAAGGCACGTAATAGAGCCGGTAATAATGTAACTATTAAAAGAAAGGCATAGTCGATGTCGGATAGATAAATACTTAGCTACTATTTTAAATGCGGAGTACGGATGGAAGTTATAAGCCTTATCTTACTTACTATAAAACACCGACCACGTTATCTAATGCATTTAACACCTACCGGCTGCTATTTAAATACTAATCTCTGATGTTATCTACTATATACTACAGTTATAAAGTGTAGCCTAATGTTGTCGATCGCTGCTAGTCCTAGTTTAGAGAACGGAGAGCTTCCTCGACCGTAGCCCTTAAAGCTGCCTTTAACCGACCGCATAATAATCGCAAGCCTATAGCGTTATGTAGCTCTATACCGTCTAGCTTCTTATTATATATCGCTTTGAAGTACGCATTAGCATAACTAGTATTAGCGTATTCCTTATCGTATACGTAGTAGGGATAAGGGACCTTTAGAGTAGGACGGGTCGATAGAACGATAAGCTCGGGAGGAATGTTAGAACTTATGTTAGACGAGAATAAGATCTCGAGGAGCTAGGTGCGCGCCGTTTCCTTATACTAATGTTTAAGGACAAGGTGTTCGTCGGCGAGAACTTTACTATATATCTTATACCTATACGCTAGGAATAGGCAGACTAGAACGTTAGCCTTAGCCTTCTTAGCCTTTCGTGTGCCGGTCGATGTAGCTATAGTATCGGCTAGTACGATCGCGGAAATACTCGACCCCGTAGACGAAGGAGCTACCGTAGGAGATAGGACTAGCGAATCTATTACGGGAGGGGCTACGAGAGGGACGATTATAAACTCGGGGGGATATAGCGAGTTCGACTCTATAATACGGGCTAGCCTAGCCGTCTTTGCTCTAGTAACCGT